TCTATTGAGTGCACATAGTCTTTGAGAGGCTATACAATATTTCTGGAGGGATTTCGGCACAACCAGCGACGAAATCTTGGTTTTAACATGTGTTGAGTGCACATAGTCTCCAAGAGGCAACACAATATTTCCGGAGGATTTCGGCACTACAAGCCGACAAAATTTTCGGTTTTGATATCTGTTGAGTGCACATAGTCTCTGGGAGGCAACACAATATTTCCGGAGGTATTTCGGCACTACAAGCCGACGAAATCTTCGGTTTTAACATGTGTTGAGTGCACATATTCTTGGAGAGGCAACACAATATTTCCGGGGGGATTTCGGCACTACCAGGCAACGAACTCTTCAGTTTTAATATGTATTGAGTGCACATAGTCTTTGGGAGGCAACACAATATTTCCGGAGGTACTTCGGCACTACCAGCCGACGAAATCTTCGGTTTTAACATGTGTTGACTGCACATATTCTTCGGGAGGCAACACAATATTTCCGGACGTACTTCGGCACTACCAGCCCACAAAATCTTCGGTTTTGATATCTATTGACTACACATAGTCTTTGGGAGGCAACACTATATTTCCTGAGGGATTTCGGCACAACCAGCCGACGAAATCTTGGTTTTAACATGTGTTGAGTGCACATAGTCTCCAAGAGGCAACACAATATTTCCGGAGGATTTCGGCACTACAAGCCGACAAAATTTTCGGTTTTGATATCTGTTGAGTGCACATAGTCTTTGGGAGGCAACACAATATTTCCGGAGGGACTTCGGCACTACCAGCCGACAAATCTTCGGTTTTGACATGTGTTGAGTGCACATATTCTTTGAGAGGCAACACAATATTTCCGGAGGTACTTCGGCACAACCAGCTGACGAAATCTTCGGTTTTAATATCTATTGAGTGCACATAGTCTTTGGGAGGCAACACAATATTTCCGCAGGTACTTCGGCACAACCAGTGGATGAAATCCTCGGTCTTAATATCTATTGAGTGCACATAGTCTTTGGGAGGCAACGCAATATTTCCGGAAGGATTTCGGCACTACCAGCTGACAAAATCTTTGGTTTTAACATGTCGGATTTGAATTTGAGCCGAAGATGGCCTCATTTTTTGACGTCGTGTTGCCTGATGTGGGAAGACTTACCAACCCACTGGAATAAGCCCGAATAGCCCACAGGGTATTGTATCGGGAATATGAGGTGGGTTTGAGAGCTCGAGATGCTCTTTTGGAGGCAATGGCACACGTAGAGGATCAGTTGAGGCAGTTGGATACTATGATCATGCTGAATGAAGAGGAGCTTCGGATCAAAGCAAGGATTGAGAAGGCAGAGAAATTGGTGCCATAGTAGTGACCCCCCCCTGTCTTCGGATATATCTTTCGGCCTACTTTTTCGTCGGTCCACCATATGATCATGTGTTAAATAGCAATTGGGCCCAATGTTGCGGGATATTTCACAATTGGGCCACACCATCTCACCTTAAGGTAAAAGCATGCATTGGGCCCAACTTTATTCAATAGTGTGTAGATAGCATTGGCCCCATTGGGGTAGCTCTATGGTACATAGGTACAATTGACCATGTGGAGTACCATTGAACTATAATGTAACGTATGAGTACTTGTGTACCCACGGGATGGGGATTAAGCCCATAGATGATTTTGAGTTCGCTGCCTACAAATGCCTATCCACAGAAGCGAAATGACTCGTGGTCACTGACGACAGCGTCCATCGCATTGTGGAGGAGGATGCTCAAAGGGGAATGAGGAGGGAATGACTTGAATGAGAAAGGTTGCTTACATAAGTTACAACTTTGATCGATTGATCAACGGACTAAAAATACACACGCGACAAACACACGATTGCTTTGAAGGACTTGCTCCCCTCCTGGTACTTGATTCGCTGTGCGCCTCGAAGCAACTATTTTCAAGTCTTTGAGGATTGGGTGGTGCTAATAGGCACAAGCTTATCGGTTCAATAACCCGTAGTGAGTACCATTCAGTGGTAGTGACTTCAGTTGAATGTTGAATCAACCCAAACTTCAGACCAACTATCAGTACAACATCTAACTTTGCTAGCAGCATCGTTCGCAACTTCACGAAACCGCGCATGATGTCGGTGATTGCATTTAGTGCCAGTGGAACGTCCTGCCCCATCCATGTTCTTCCTAATGAGCTCCTTGCAAAGGTGTTTCAAGCTGGCGCGTGGGACTGGGCGGCTTCTAGTTCCGCAGCATCTACTCTTCCTTTCCCCATCCTAATCTCCGGCGTCTGCAAGCACTGGGGCGAGGTTGCTATAACTTGCCCTGATTTATGGTCCACGATCTACGTCCCTATCTGCTCTTCCAGCACTGGCACACCCCCTGCCTGGGTCCAAGCGTGGATGGATAGGTCAAAGTCTGTTCCCCTCACAATTATACTCGACAATCCACTATATAGCAATCAGCTTACCCAAGCCGCTTTGCTTTCGACGATGATCAAACACCCCACTCGCCGGGTCGACATCAGGTCCAGGAGTGATGAAGAATCCAACATACACAGGCTTTTTATGGATGTTTTACAGGGGTCTCATCAAAACAAGTACGAGCAGATTTCTCTTTGCTTCCAAGAACACCGTCGGGGTCGAGCGCGGTTCACTAGAGAGGAAAATGTGATACGTGAAGAATGGGGCTGCCTGCCTAATTGTTTAGCAAGTTTCAAGGTTTCCAAACTACGTGTTATTGGGCTGGCGGTGTACCCGCCTCAATTTCCTAATTTAACCTCCCTCACTGTTTGGGATATGGAGGCTACATTCCTAGAACTGCGGGACCTCTTTTCAGAGTCCCCTGGTCTCACAAATCTAGTTCTCTGTCGTCTTCGCGTGTCCCCGACCTCACTTCCCCCCGCCGACGTTGGCGCTTCAATCACTCTTCCGTCACTGCAACGGCTTGCAGTCAGTTTCGTTCGTGATTCGTCGAACCCAAGTGACATATACCCCCTCCGATACCTTCGCCTACCCAACCTTAGTTATTTAGAAATAAACGGGGATTCCAACATCTCGCTTGCGTCTGCATTCGAAGATTCTCTTTCTTCGTCTGATCGACTTCACACCCTCATATTATTAAACTGGTCTCATGGGATTTTTTATGGTGCTCAGGATGACTTGGATGACATTTCCTTTCTGCGGTTACTCACCTCGATCCGCCACCTCCACCTCCTTCACTCCACAGCCGCACTTTTGACTAGCAGCCCTAGCGCTGCACCTCGTCGGCTGCGCAGACCATCCATCGGAGGCGTGGTTCAGCCGCAGCCACACAGCCGGGCTGGAATGCTCGCTGAGCTCCGCCAGGTTGGAGTGCAACTCCAAGCCCTGGATCTTGACAAAAGTAATTCTGCCTCAAAGTCCTCATTTATTCCTTTTCCTAATCTCCAAACCATTACTCTCGCGACGCTGGCCGCCAACGACCTGCTCGACGTCTGTCACTATGTTGGAGCGCGGAAGAGCAGACTTGACGCGGTCTACCTGTCGACAACTGCACAGCGCCACCTTAGCCATACGCTTGTAAGGACGCGGGGGCAGGATACTTATCGAGTTCCTTTACCTTTCACTAGGAAGAGGGACATTGATGTAGATCAGATAAAGGATGCGAACGATTGGTTACGAGAGCGCGTGCAGGTTCACAAGGCCGATGAATCGAGGAATGACTTACTCGAGGAAACGAGAAACATGATATAATTGGGCGGCGCGTACATCCCGCCTCGCGATCTGCCACTTCAAGAATGTAAAGAAACGTCTTGCGACTGCAATTATTTACGTGTACGCTTTTATCTGTTCTTTCGTTTACTTTTTCTCTCCTTCACATTTACCTCCGTCATTTCCTAGTCCTTACTCAAGCCACAATTCCTTCCATTTATATACTGCACCTTATTTTCCCCCTCACCTTCAAACTACGCCTCACAGTTTGCAACGAGCCAAAGATCACACCAACACCGTGACGGCGGAAATTTGTTCACTGTCAAACTTGATGGGGGTATCTGGCCCGTAATTTCGCTTTGGAGGAACTCCTAGGCGACGGAGAGCTAGAATCTAGAGCAGACGATCCGAGTTGACCAGCTGACTCGGAAATCAGCAGGGCGACATTGGACTCGAAAAAAAACAGCAACAAATATAAAGACCCAACCAGTTACTTGGTAAGTACTTACTTACGTGTTTACTGCCAACTTCTCTACCCTTGACTCGGAAGCTTCCAAAACATTATTAAAGTGATGGAATAGATGGTGCGAGTGTTGTTATACTCTATAGCTTGCGTATAGTGCATTCGGCAACTTGACGCAGTGTGCCGTAAAATTCCAAACTTGACTGCAGCACAGTGTGTGGCGCAATGTGGGCGTAATCCGAGCTTAAACGCCGAATCTGTCCTTCCTCACAACGCCCACCTATGCATTGCAATGCCCAATGAGCCCACCTCCAGTGGCTCATCTCGACAACTATGCCGTCGTTTTCTGAAGGGTATCTGTCCTGACGGGGAAAGATGCAGATACCTTCATACCAATCCAGACTATACCGTACGTTATGTTAAGCTTTCTGGTATCACGTCTAATTTGATTCACATGCAGGGATCCTCCCCT